CAGGGGGTGAAATCGTATGATTGGCTGTGACCTAATTACAAAAGATAGTGCGAGATTTTTCTGTTAGGGATGCTTGTTTAGAATACTTAGATCGGCCCTAGTTCCTAGTTTGGTTCGTAAATCATGTAACTGGCACCGTTCCAAGTCGGTCTGACCAATGTTACTTCGCCTCGAAGTTAGCCTGCTTACGACCCTGATGTATGTTTTGCCTCATGAAAGGATTAGTTCTGCGGTTCTTCCGAAAAAAAACGATTTTCGAAAAAAAGCGATTTGCCCTTGGCTCGTGTTTTGAGCATCCCCACCTGCCCCCGAACGTTGTCCTTCCTAGATGAGGTATGGTATTGACTAACAGATGATTAACAGATGTGTTCGCCTGTAATGATTTTAATGAATAAAATTGTTCTGACGCTTTTTCGTGCACCTAAACATCTACAACAAAAAGCTGTACATCCTCCCTACACGGTGAAAATAGCAGGTGTTCAACAAGTCAATGAGCTACAGGAAAAAAAAAGTCAAGAAACCAGTTTTTTAGGTCATATTTACTTCCGCGTAATGGGTAATGGAGTCTTTTTTGACGTATTTAAAGCTTCTTATGTATAGGTCAAAGGACTACTTTATCTGCAAAAGCAGCAGTTTACAATTCGACCGTTTTACCAGCCACGTTTCACGGATGTGAGACGTGGGACATCACGCTTGCAGAACGGAAATTGGCGGTGTGCCAAAAAGGTGCGAATGCGTCGCCCACCTAGGCCCATATACCTCAAGGTTTCCTGGGTTATGACCGGGGTGGGTCATCCCCAAAATGGGCGATGTAAGGGCGAAATTGGAAGATGCCGACCCTGGTCATAACCCAAGAAACCATGGGGTATATGGGCTTAGGTGGGCGACGCATTTGCGCCTTTACACAGTCAAGCGAACACTGGAGAGGCTACCAATGAGACGGGGGAACCATGGTACGCCTGTACGGTACTGCGTGGACTCGGGGAGCCCAATAATGAGAAGAACGGAGAAGTTGCCAGTTGCACCGATGGCGTGACACAACGAACGTCGATGACATACAGCTGCTTAAGTATTCAAGTATGTGTAGGGTGGAGAACAGTTGTAGCAGTTTTACCAAAATAATTTATTTTTGTATAAATAAAAGTAATAAATCCGTAAATTTCGATTGCGGCGGCCAGGAATAAACCAAAAAATACAAAGAGACACAGTGAAAGCCGTAAAAACCGTTTTAAATTAACAATAAAAGAACCAGAAACAATCATCCAACAATCACATTGTTTTCACTCAAATTATTCTGATTTCATCATCCTACACACAGACTGTATTTTTCGCGGAATTTTATATAAAATTACGAATGCAAAATACGAAATCCCCAGATTTTTTTATATTTATCAATCGACACAAAATTGGTGGTTTGTCCGTCGAGCTCAAGGCTTACGACTTATTACTGCACAATAGGTCCTCGCATTTCTAGATAGTCGTTTTTGACAAGCTCATTTTTTTTTCTTCGCTATTTTACATAAATTTAAACACATAATTCATATGTGCTAGAAGAAACTCGTGAGATTCTTTGGAAAAAAATCATGATTCGTAACTTTTACAACGAAGAAAACCATGATTCCTTCGGTTGATGGGAAAAGTGATTCATCACAGCCTATATATAACAGACTGCAGGCGAACTGGATATAGTTAAATTTAAGCTGATAACAATCACTGATAATGCAAAATGTC